GTAGGTCCAGAACCCTTGCCCCTAGCAGCATTAGAATCCCCTATATTCAGATCTAAAATCCTTCTACATTATTTTAAGTTGTATTTTTTGCATATATATATATAGTGTTATAGCATATACAAAAACACTTCTCTAACCTCCTTAATGAAAATGGTAGTATTTGTTTTACCTTAAGATTTCACATGATACACACTGCAAGCTTATTTTACTGAGAACTCCTGTATAAACCAGGTTTTAAAGGGTTGCGTGGTACCAGGTTTAAATGGTTGCCTCAGCTCTGTCTCCACGTGACGTGTTCCAGGTGAAATCAGAAGTGCAGAAGAAGATGCGCACCTGGGGAATGGAGCTAGGACTGTGCTTGGCAAAGTGAGGAGTGGAGAGCGCCCCCTTGCTGCTGGGATTAACGCGACAAGCTGTTTTCCGGGGGAAATGTACTCATCCACATGGCGAAATCCCTAAAGCCGACCATAATGACCGTTTCTTTTTAAAAAAGAAGTGTCGTTAAGCTGTTACACGGATCTCTGCCCAACATATATCTCATTGCACACATTAATATTTATCACTTATTCATTTTCCCCCCCCCCTGTTAGTCTAATGCTGTAACAGTGCTCGGTTCCTCCAATGGCGTTGTAACGCTGGCCTGACCAGTTTGGCTCGGAGAGGGAAGTCTAGAGAGAGGGTGCAGACTTCTCTTCATTTTACCCACAAAATACTGGGCAGTGTGGCAGGGATAGTATCGTGCTGGTAAGCTTACACTGACAGATGTACCACCTTAAAGGCTAGAATGTCAGAAAGCAAGCATTGACCCGCTCCATACCTACATGAAGGTAGTGGTTAGGACCCTAGATTAGTAGCAGGAAATGAACTCGAATCCCATGTGGAATGTTATAGTTGTACATATGAACAAAGTGCTATATTTGTACTGCTCCAGCAAAGTGCAGAGCTCTGTAAATGTGTAGTTTTCTGGCTTATATGGTAAAATGTAAGTTGCAAGTCATGTTTTTCCTTTATTCCATGCTGAAAAAAAGAAGAAAGAGAACGCAACATTTCGGCCGTGGAGCCTTCTTCAGGTGTGAGAGAGAATCTCAGTTTGCTGAACGCAAAACTGAGCTGTATTAATGCACGGCCACTTTCTAGTGCCAGTAGGCTCACACAGCGCATATTTTCCCAGGATTACAGCTGCGTTCAGCAAACTGCTCTCGATGCAAGTGCACAGTGGGGAACCCCCCCGTCTTCTCAGGTCTTGTAAATACACAGCTAAATTCTGGAGGCACACAACTGAAGATCAGTCAAGAAAAAGAGCCCTCCGAGTGGGCAATTCTGCATTCAAATAAATACACCTGTATTTTTGTAAATGGCACAGCTGTATTTTTCTGAATGCCATCTGTATTTATTTGAAT